CGTAGTAGGTATATTTTATAATTATGTAAAAACATATCAAAGCTGCAGCACTACCTTAAAATTCAAATCAGTGGCGGCCTTAGGGGGTGGCGAGCAGGGCAACCGCCCGGGGCCTCGCACTTTCAGGGGCCTCGCGCCTTCGCACAACAACCCAAGTGTATTAGAATCTCGTGCCTTACGCCATACATTACAAAACCCACAACGTGCAAGTACAAGCACATATCACGTATTTTTCAATAAATCTTTATTAATATTAAATCTTGCACTATTAAGTATAAGTAATAATAGTAAAGAGTGAATTAGTAAAAAAAACTGCGTTAAACTGCTTGTAATTTTTTTATAAATTTTATGTGCAAAAATGATTTTCAAACTGAGTTTGGCCGATTGTGTTGCCAGTAGAAAAAATTAGTTCAATAGTTCAAAAAGGCAACAAGCTATCAAAAGAAAGCATTTAGACAATATCTTTATGTGTATTTGTATAAATATATAAAAGACAATGGCTTCTAAGTCCTTGAGACTCTTTAGTGACTGAAAGTTACATGTTATTGCATTCTAATCCTAACCCAGCTGAAATATTTTTTTCAACAACAACAGTGAGTAAGCAACATCATTGTTACTCCACCGCCATCGCCGTCGTGAACACTATCCAGCCAAAAATACGTACCTAAATCTATGTCTACATCCAGTGGCGGAATTGAAAATCTGAATCCTTGAAATGACCCAGATTTATGGCCATCAATAATTACTGATGCAGACCGAACTAAGATTTCATTGAAAGGTCTAATCTGTTCTAAGACAGAATTTCTTCAAACGATAGTGGACGGTGACTCATTGATGATGATGATGATGATGTTCTCCAAGCCGATTCCAGCCACGGCGGCCAATGTCATTGAGTCTAGCCAACTGCTCAGGAGATATTATAGTGCTCAAGTGTACGCGCAGGCACAAGTGCACTCTCTATTCCTATCACTCTCATACTCCGGTGGGACGACTGCTCGACACGACCAGTGAGAGTTAAGGCGCAGGACCGACGGCTTTACGTGCTCTCCGAGGCACGGGGGTGAAACACCGCCAACTTCTCCACTCCAGGCTGTTACTGACATTTACTATACAGAAAGACTCATTCATTGAATAGGTATCATTACAATAAAATATTAGCTAATGGCGAAAAACTAGACAGGCACTGGATGAGTTATTCACAAACAAAATATGCCATTTACTGCATTCTATGTCAATTGTTCAGAATAGAATACAAAAAATTGGGTCCAGTGCAGAAGTTTTCAATTGGAAAAACTTGGATAAATATTTAAAGTTTCATTAATCTAGTCGACTGCAAAAAGATCGTATGTTAAAATGGTTAAATTTAGAGATCGGGTGTGAACGTATGGTTAAATTTAGAGACTGGCTTATAAAAGCTGTACATCTATTGACTCTTTAGCCCAGAGTCTTTGGCCCTCCAGAGTGGAGCACAAGAGCCAAGTGCTTAAAAGAGTAGAAGTGCTCAATATGCAAAATAACGAGGAAACCCGCTCACGAGCATTTGCGATGGTGAAACCAGTGCACATTTCTCGACACCTATAGCCGACCACGCTGATACTGTGCCCGAGTCATTATACCGCGAGTGGGAGGCGAGTAACCGTACGCCAAATATTGAATCTGAGACTGTTGAGAAGGCGAACGCCCGATAGTCTTATCCAATAGCCCAGTTTTGTAGCCCATCCAAACTCCATTCCATAGACCCTATTAGTGTTTTAAATTTTCCATAGTCCCTACGCATTATCTGGACCATATTTGAGCAATTCCTTTTATGGGTTACTCAGAGATGGATCCCGGCTGATGCTTCATGTTAAACGCTTAAATCTCAAGGGTCTCTACGTGTTGAACCTGAGGAACACAAGTCTTCCAAACGGCCGGGCTCCTCCAAGCCCGTGAATTCTAAAGGGATACAAATAATGTCCACATCTCGGAAAAATATTCAAAATGAGTTTATAAAATTAATGGCAAGTCACGAGAATTAATGGCAAGCAAGACTAAAAATGTTAACAAAATAATAAATTTTTCTTCTTTGTGCTTGTTAACTTTTCTGAATTTCCAATATACAATTTTAAAACTCTAAATTTATTTATTTATAACTTTTGCATTTCTCGTCAAGCATCATCATTAAAAATATTTTCAATTCACATAAATTCCGTAAAGGATAAGGGCCTCGCAAAGATCTACTGCCCGGGGCCTCGCAATGGCTAAGGCCGCCCCTGATTCAAATAGCATCTACTTAGAGTCTCCACTACTGAGAGATTTTTATACAAATTACGTATAGTATTTATGTATTTATACATACATTGGATAACAGCTAACAAATGGTAAATTTGGGGCCAAGAGCGCATATTTCAATAAAATAGTTACCTTTCTTGTTATTGTTGTATAATCAGGACTAGGTATTGCCCGCGGCTCCGGAATATAAAAAATTGTGTCTGACCGAAACTGGTTTTTCAGCCGAAACCGAACTTTCGGCCTTGCTCTCTGTTTCGGCCCAAATCGAAACCGAAACTTATTAAAAATTATTTAAAATTACGATTATGTATATATAGACAGTTAAATAGTGTTAAATAAAATTAAAAAAATAATCATTAAAGTCGTAATAAATATATTTTTTATGTCATGGATATACAAACAAGACTTACTCTTGGAAGTAAACTTAAAAAAAGAAACAACTTTCAGTTTGAGTGCTTTGTGAACCTGAAACCGAATCTTTGTGAACCTTTTTTAAATAAAGCGTTATTTGTAGTATTAACTGCCTCGGTGGTGTAGTGGCTAGCATGTACGGCTGCACACTCGGAGGTCCTGGGTTCGCGTCCCGGGTCGGCCCAAATTTAGTTATTGAGTCTTTCTGTATAGTAAGTCTCAGTAACAGCCCGGAGTTGGGAAGTTGGCGGTGTTTCACCCCCGTGCCTCGGAGAGCACGTAAAGCCGTCGGTCCTGCGCCTTAACTCTCACTGGTCGTGTCATGCAGTCGTCCCACCGGAGTATGAGAGTGACAGGAATAGAGAGTGCACGTTGTGTCTGCGCGTACACTTGAGCACTATAATATCTCCTGCGCAGTTGGCTAGTCTCAAAGAGATTGGCCGCCGTGGTCGGAATGGCTATGCGAACATCATCATCATTTGTAGCGATTTGAAATTAATATTAAATTAAGTGTTTTCATTTTAAATAAATTTATTAGGCAAGATAAAATGAAATAATGAATCCTATCCTTTTACAATTATAATGGTCATTTAAGAAAAATGAATTTCTGTGTCCTTTACTTCGACTCTAAATGCTTATCCAGAGCACAAAACAAAATTTCAGTGATTATGATTAAGATCACTGTTTATTTTTTTTATACATTTATATTAACATTGAAACAACTTAGTCTATTCAGATGTTTATAATATAATATAGTTATATATCATTATATACTCAGCAACGGCAAACGGCTATGACTGACTTCTTACAGCGCCATCTAGCGCTTACAGGGACCAAATAAAATAGCCTGGCTTTCTTTGTACATTATGTATGTATAACAAGCAACTCACCCTCTCTTCGCTTGGGTTCACCTCTCGAATAACAAAATAAAAATCTATCCCACTGGAACCGTACATTTTTCCGGGATAAAAAGTAGCCAATGTGTAATTCTATGTATGAGCTTTATTAGTAAAGTTTAATTTAAATCCATTAAGATTTTTTTTCGTGAAAGAGTAACAAACATTCACACGTCCAGGCATCCATCCTCACAAACTTTCGCATTTATAATATTAGCAGGAAGAAGGATTATTGATAATAAAATTAATATTATTAGGTCCAGTACATATTATGAAATTGTTGCGTTTTGTCGAACTGGCCACTTTGATCTCAAATATCTGGCATTTAGTTAGGAAATCCAAATTCAAATTTATTTTAAATTTAGGCTTTTTTGTGTTTCTAAAGTGTTTGTTTTCGCGCCATTTGATTTTTCTTTGACATCGGTCTGTTCACAATACGGAAAACTTACAACTTAAAATAATATATAAAGCTACTGAAAAAGAAAACACGGTACGTTTTTGGTTCCAACGTTTTTGTTCTGGAAACTTTGACCTACAGAGCAAACCCCGTGGGCGTGGACGTATGTGATGGTGAAAGCGGATATATCGCAAACCACGTCAGAGTTAGCGGCAAGCTTCGGTATTTTAATCCTCTTGAAACAAATTAGAAAAGTGAAAAAGCTCGAAAAATGGGTACCGCATGATTTTGATTAGTACATTAGACAACCGTCACAATAACGAGGGGATTTTGATTGTTCATTGTGATGAAAAATGAATCCTGTTCGATAATCGGAAACGCTCATTACAATGGAACCCAGATGAACCCAGGAGAACCTGCCAAGTCCTGTACATAATATAAGGAATACGTCCTCCAAATTTCACGTTTCTACGACCAGCGGATTAGGTTGTGTGTTGATCTATCAGTCAGTCAGGACTCAGAACCACCGCAGGATGTACTTCTCCCTCTAAATTCTTCCTTCAGCTGGTCTAACTTCCAGGTACAATACATTGCACCACTATAAAAGAAATATCACAATAAATTAACCTTAGACTAAATGTAAATGAGCCATACGTGTGGTGCCCTCCCTTTGAGAAAACTTCCTCATTTTGGTAAGAAGGATTAAGGACCTAATATTACTCGCTGCCCTCTATTGGAAATTATTAAGACTACATGTTAAATAGAAATTAAGATAGGTATATAAATAACTTATAATTAAGAACTAATATTATTACTTTAATGATATTAAATGTTGACTATAATATATTTACGTAAAACTTATAATATTGGCGTGGTATATTTTAGTATTTTGTCACTTACAAATGTTTTAAAACGTAGTCTGTGAAATTAGATAACTGCCACTACTGTCATATTTATTGTTAAATGTTAATCTGTCAAACAAAACATAAATGAAGCGCAGAGATTTTTGTGTTTAATTTATATAAATGTTTCAAAATTGGATTCTACCTAAGAATAAGATGCAAAGCACTATTAAGGAGCTTCTAGATGTTTTAGGGTAATTTTAAAATAGTTTTGACATCAGTAGTTATGTGTAATTACATACGTTAATCATGCTCAATTATTTCAATTCCAGATGTAATTTAGAAGCAGATACGGTGTTGGACTACATTCAGAATGATCCCAATTATGGCAACAGTAATCTCTCTTCTAAACAAGTAAATGAATACGCACAAAGATTGGCGCTTAAATCTTCTAATTCAAAAGTTTTTTTAAAAAAATATGAAGAGTTAAAAAATCGCAAGTAAGTTTGTTGGTTTTGGTACCTAAATGAGACAATAATTTATAATTATTAGAAATATTTAGTGAAGAGTATTTTTATATTTTTCAAGCAAAAAATTACATAACATCTTTTCTCAACTTATGAGCATCTGATATTATATTATTCAAATACAACGAAAATAGAATAAAGATTCAGATCATCATGTAAAGAGTTAACATTTTCCATTTACCTTCCAGCACTGACAACTTGTCTGATATTATTGTCCTATTTTATAAACTAGTATGTGATGAAAAGAAATCCAGAATCTCTAAACCAAAAGTGGCTCCTAAACCTATTTTAGGTGACAATAAGCACCAGATCACCAAAGAAGATTTGCCACAGGTAATTCATAACATAGTTAATTTATTTATTAAATATATATCATTACATGATGTTATTTCCCTTTTTTATATAATTTAAATTTCAATAAATTAAATTTTGACAAATTAGAAATATTCTGTAAAGTTTAATTGTAAATTAAGTTATATATGTAGTTGCTACTTGCTTGTAAATATTTTTTAATGTTAATAAATGTAATATATGAACTACTTATTACAGATCAAAGATAAGTTACTCAAAGCTGTAGATGAAAGTAAAAAACTAGTCATGAAGTCAATTGAAGAGAAAGAATCCAAATTGCGTCCAAATTGGTACAACAGCTTAGACTTACCTAACTGGCAAAAAGAACATCCAGCTATGTCATGGGACTTTCCTAAAGATCCATTGCCTATAATAGCATCATTGTGTAAGTTTTACATATATTTTATAAAAATCCATCTTAATATTATAAATGTGAAAGTGTGTTTGTTTGTTTTTCCTTCTTTCATGTCAAAAAAGAATGTCAAGATTGGTATAATTTTTTTGACATTTGGAGGGTCAGAGAATGACTTATGCTACTTTTTACTGTGGAAGATTATCTCATTCCCACAGGAAAACATGTTATGATAAAACCCACTACAACTCATAATAAAAAATAAATTTTATTTTATTATTCAAAAAGTGCATACCAAATCAATGAATTTTACTTTCTGCTTGAATTTACCCAGGACCTGCATCCAGCGTTGTTTATTTATCTGTAATTGATTCACTCCTAAAGATTGTAGTTTGATTTTCCTTAATAAAAAAACTACATAATGTGAAGAAAATTCTTTAAACGATTTAGTAGCACCAGAGATAAGACATGTTCAAATAAATGGAAAAAAAATAACTTTAAATATATATAATACTTAATTTTTTCAGACAATTAATGAGGTGTTTTAAATAAAGAAACTTACTTTCAGCGGGTATTCCCATTGCTTCACAAGAGAACATAATCATAGATGAATTACTTTACCTTTTTTCTGGAATTCCTGGTAATTTCATTGTACATCAGCCAGTAAAAGACACATATGATCCAAGAACTTTCATTATATCTGACGACTTAGATGATGCACTTAAACAAATAGTCCAACAGATGTTACCTTTGGCTTCAAATTATTCTATTGTGAGAAGGTTTATAGAGCAATGTAATATGTGGTCTGGTCAGGTACTCCATGCACTAGTTGCGGCAATTGAGATATTGTTGAAAGACTACTATGTGAGTGATTCTTGTGTTTCTTTATTATATATTCAAAATAACATTTAACAATAATAATGAACAATAGGGAATATGCGTGATTATTTTTTTATACAATGGCTTACATTGTTAACACCTCCAGGTACATTTTTTAGAAATAAATTAAGTTCTAAGAAATCTATTGTTAACTAAAACGCCGGCGTGTCTGCGGTCGTGGAGAGATTATATAATTGTAAAAAAATTTTTTTTGTATATCATACAGATGTGGATACTTTAAACGCCCACAATATTGCTATCAACAAATGAATAGGGCTAGATTGTTAGTACCAATCACAATTACTGAACAACAGCGGTCTGTTATGATAGACTTTGACGTCACATTCGTTCTGAACAATGGCTTAATTCAGAATATTAAAATTATAAAAAAGATATTTAACATTTAATTAAATCACATGCATATTCCCTATTACAATTGTAGCATTATTTGAAAATCACTAAATTGATGGAAAGTAGAAAGTAGGTAGTATAGCCAAAATAAAAGGTTATTTTTATTTGGGGCATCAATTCTATAATATATAGATTATAAATAAACATTTTACATAGTTTTGTTCTGAATATGAGAAATATAGCAAAAATATTTTATATTTAAACAAAAAAAGTGAATTTCAGTAAACTGATTTTAACAGTGATAAACAACTCATATAATTTAAATATTGGCATAAAAATAATTCTTTCATCCTTTAATAATATTAGACAAACATCATGAACAAAATAAACATAACGCCATCTATTGACATTTATTTGAATATTTTAAATAAATTATAAAACTATCTTTTCGGATTATTTCGCGGATTTATTTTGATTTCTGGTTGCCGACGTTTCGAATGCTTTACAGCAATCATGGTCACGGGAGAGATTTATTTGAACTTATTTTTCTTTGTTACTCTTGATACCTTCATGGTAGTGCTTATAAATAAGATAAGGTACCTCGGGGACTAATACATAATCAATATTGTTTTTTTTTCCAGACAATGATAGCTCAATTGGAAACAGAGTACATGTGTTCAAATTTAACATTACAAAAGTTATGGTGTTTTGTTTTACCCACAATGCATACTATGCAAGTGTTAGCTGCTATTGTCACAAGTATTGGAAAGGTAATGTCTAATATTATATCAGAGTAGTCTTATAATAATTAAAAATATTACTATACAAATATACATTGGAAATGGCTTGTTATTTTTACCAAGGTCCAAAAAGTTGGAGGTTATATGTTTGGTTGGTATTTTTTTTTGATGTATGTACATAGATAACTAAAAGATCTTTGGGCCGATTTGCGTTTTTGATTTTGAAAGTGTAAACGCGCGATAGTCCCATACAAATATAGTGCTGATCTGATGACGGAATTAGGAGATAGGCAACAGAACTCCCACACAACAAATAAATTTACACAATAACAAATTGGAGCAAATGGACTGTGATTTTGTGTTTATGTGAAATTTCATATAAATCGATTCAGTAGTTTTGGAGCCTATTTAGTACAAACAAAAAAATAAACAAATATTTCCTCTCTATAATATTAATATGGATTTCTTATTTTATATTTCTGGAAAGTTTGCCTGGAACACTTTTAGCGATAAGGCCATCTATCTTTCTATGTTTATTGCTGTCTTTGTATGTTTATTTCTTCTTTTCGTGTTTTATAAAGTGTATTTATCTATATGTAGAGTGAATTAAGAGGTGGTGCAGTGTTAACGGTACTTCATGAGAAAACTAATACGTTGATGGGAGACGCGCGCGCGCAAGAAATCTCTCTGTTCCTCACAGAGCGAGCATGTCGTCCATACTTGAGCATTTTGGACCAGTGGATACATAAAGGAACCATTGTGGATCCCTTCCAGGTAATATGCTTTATATATTTAATATAAAAACATATTAAATATAAGTAAAAGTAGATATCATAAGTTCAGATTGGTAATAATATATCTGATTAATTATTATTGTCTTCGTAATGTATACAAATGTTTTATGTGTGTTGTTAGTGTACTTTCTCTAAATAAATAAATGGATAATAATCGTTTTGAAACTAGTGTTTGAGGAAAACATACATATGTGAATCTACATTTTTCCAATATATTTTTTTCTAATCTTTTACATTCGTTTATTGTATGTTAAAGAACATAAATTTTTATATGTACAACAGCGGCTCCGCCCGCGTTTAGATGACCAAAAACCAAATTATTAAGTTTTAAATATTAGTATACTCTTACATTGCAGTTTTTGTATTTTTTCTCAGAAATGAGATATTTTCTGCAGTAAAAAGTATCCTATATGTTGACCCGGATAACCAGCTATCATCATACCAAATTTCATCAAAATCCCTCTAGTGGTTTTTCCGTGATGCGGTAACAGACAGACAGACAGACAGATAAAAATTCTAAAAACTATAGATTTGGCCTCTGTATCCATAATAATTTCTATTGCAATAAGATTTTCCAAAAAATATTTAATGTACAGATTCGGCTTAGTTAGAATTTTATTATATGTATAGAGCACGCACAACGGACCAGAAGAGAGTCTAAGTGCGGAAAACGAGTCCACTTTACATTATATGTATAGATTGTAATTACAAATGTTGACAAACGGAGGAAAAAAAGGTACTGAACTAATAAGTTAGTATAGAACGAACAAATAAGTATGATATGTTATCAAAAAAAAATCTTATTATATTTACAATGTTTTGATTATGAACTAACAAAATGATTGAAAGTATCAGATTCTTCATTGTAAATTTGAAAATAAAGCACTAGTTTAACACGTGCACAACTTGAAGTTAAACCATGAAAAAAATTGAAACTTAATGTATGTTTCTTTTTAATTTTTTCACATTTAAAAAAATACGTTACACGTTATTTTTCATTTTAATATAGACATATAGGTAATGTATGTATAATTATATATATTCTATAGGAATTCATGATAGAAGATAATGAACTTATAAATAAAGAGGAACTGCCGGGAGATTATTCAGCGGACTACTGGGAGAAGAGATACAGTATACAGAGAGACAGAGTACCAAAGTTTTTAGACAAATTCACTGATATTATACTAAGAACTGGAAAATATTTGAATGTTATCAGTCAGTGTGGTATGTTTTGATGTTATTTATTTTTGGAATATTAGATATATTGTTTGGATAGATTTTTATTACTCGATTTCAGTTTGTCCCTCCACTACTGTTTTATATTTTACATTTACATTTTATGAGACCTCCATACACAGAGAACTTCAAGTGACCAATCTACGACTAATAATAAAACTTAGTCTCATAGCTTACTCTTTATCATATAATATGGGCACTTTTACAGGTCTATTATATATTTATCATGAAACTAGCTACTTACATTTGCTTCAGACGGGTGTCTAACAGTAGCCGACAAAGTTAGTCAATGGCAAAAACTACTGAATGGATTTTAATGAAACTACAACTTATTATCTCGGAAAATTAAAAAAAAATATGTTTCTTGTGGGATAGATTTTGTTGTTTTTCTAAAGGGAAGCCGAGATAAAGCCGCTAGTAGTTTTCTAACATTAAGTAATCACTTGAAATATCACTATATAAAAGTTTTATTCCAGGCAAATCAATAACGAAATCCAACACAGAGGAAATAAAATACTCGCTAAGAGAACAAAACTATGGTGCTATAATACAAAAGGCATATGCTTTCGCCAGTAAATCTCTTCTCGAGTTGTTATTAAAGGAGTACGATTTGATGGGTCGATTGAAATCGGTTAAGAATTACTTCTTAATGAGCCAAGGCGACTTTATAGTGCAATTCATGGACGCCACAGAACAAGAACTGTCTAAGAAGATAGACGATATTATACCGTCAAAACTTGAATCGTTATTGGGATTGTGCTTAAGGTAATTATCATTCATCAATTACATCTATTCAGCCCTTTTTAACGTCCCACTGCTGGGGGTGGGCCTCCCTTCAATATTACGGGGATCAGGTCATAGTCCACCACGCTGGCGAAGTGCGGTTTGCCGGACTTCACATATCTTTCGAAAACTTGTTGGTTCTCTCAGACATGCAGGTTTTCTCTATGGCAATAATGTTAGAAATGATTCGCACGTGAAAATATCAGAGGTGCGAGACTCGGTATTAGAACCCGTTTCACTCGGTTTCCCAAGCGAGCGCGTTACCACTGGGCTACCACTACCTCAATCAATCGCATTTCAATTACATATCGACATCATAAAGAAGAAGGGAAATAGAGGAGTGAGACAACAATATTAAGATTTTTATTAAGTACATATACTACTTTAATAGATTATTTTAGTTCAATATCTGTTGTTTTAAAATCAGTTTTTAGTTTATATCTCTTGGAAATTCCATTTTAACAATTATTTTTATCTTGTTACATTTAGAAGAGAAAAGGGACAATATTAGGGTTTATGTATCAGTCCCTTATTTTGTTATTATTTTCAAATAAAGAATAAAATTAAAATTCCCATCATTAGATGGAGGTGTGCATTTGTTTCTTATTTTAATTTCACAATCAATTACACATATATATATATTTCCATATTGTTATAGATTGTCAGCGGCCAGCCATGATCCATATAATGAAGACATGAGAGTAGAATTGCTTCCCTATGACTTACAATTCCAAATGTTCAAAATATTGTCCATTGAAACTGAAGAAGAAAAAGGTTTGATACAATATATAACATGATAGAGATAGATGACATTTAAACATTACTAATGCTTTTTCATCATTTGTGGATTTTTAGAACGTATTTATTTGAAATTAATCCTTTACTAGCTTTCAGACCAATGCATATTTATTTTAATGTACATATTTTAAATATTCTTAAAAATAAAACTTAATTTATTTGTTATCATAATTCATAATACTTTTATAGATTTAAGCAAATATTTGACATTTTAAAATGAAACAATCTTTTTGGTTGTTGTCGTAGCGTTTTTATTTTATATTTTGGTTCCCGACGATTTGGAATGTTTTACAGCAATCATGGTCACGAGTCCCGTCGACGTCCCGAAAGGTTAGAAACCAAAATATAAAATAAAACCGCGACAACTAACGATAAGATAGTTTCATTTAAAAAAAATCATTATCATTTCAGAGTACAAACAGAACAAGGATTGTCTTCCTTTAACCGGCATAGAAACGTTCTCCTTCGGCATGGAAGTGAAATGGCCAGTATCACTGATACTGAACCACAAGGCCATAGCGTGCTATCAAATGATCTTTAGGCATCTATTCTATTGCAAACACGTTGAAAGATTACTTTGCAGGTTTGTTTATACAAATGTTTCATCTAATGAGGTATTTTCATATCTACACTAGCATTGCTCGCGGCTCCGCCCGCGTTCAGATGACCAAAAACCAAATTCTTAGGTTTTACATATTAGTATACTCTTACAATGCAGTTTTTGTATTTTTTCTCAGAAATGAGATATTATCCAGCGATAAAAAGTATCCTATATGTTGACCCGGATAAACAGCTACCATTATACCGAATTTCATCAAAATCCCTGCAGTTGTTTTTCCGTGATGCGGTAACGGACAGACAGACAAAAATTCTAAAAACTATAGATTCGGCCTCTGTATCGATAACAATGTCTATTTCTATAAGATTTTCCAAATAATATTTAATGTACAGATTCGGCTTAGTTACAATTTTATTATATACATAGATTTATATAAAATTATAAACTTAATATCCTATATTTTTTATTTCAAACAATGTGCTTATGTACATTATACATATTGTAAATATATGGGTATGTGTTAATAATTTTTTATTATAAAAAAATAAAAACCGACTTCAAAAAAAAACACTACTTTTACTATACTTTACTATAGATATCTAATCAAATTTTCGACTTGGCTGGCACCGACTTCGAAAATATCGTATCTATAGTTTTTAGTGTTTTTTTTAAGTCTGTTTTTATTTTTAACTAGCGACTCACATTCGCTTCGCTCGGGTTCGTCCATAGCTTGATTCTCAATACAAACTTTCATCCCCATTTTCACTCCCTTAAGGGATGATTTCCGGGATAAAAAGTATCATATGTCTAAGTAAAGTATGTCCTTCCCAGGGTGTCAAACTATCCCGGGGGAGAAGCCAACTCCTACCGGGCGCGTCCCCAGGTGGCGGATAGGGGCATGCCACCCGCTTAGAGGGGCGGGTGGTACCGGAGAAATCCGGCGCGGACCAAATGGCTTGGATGGGGCCGCTCGTCTAGGCCTCGAGCCGAAGACGTTGCGGCCACCGGTGGTGGGACCGCTTGGTTCCACAACCGGATGATGGGTGCCGGTTGCGGGACTGTGGTCGCAGGCCCGCATCCGGCGGAGGGGTACGCCGCGGCGGGAGAGGAGTGCCGGTATTTCGGTGCGCCGTTCTCCCTACCTTCCGCGGCCTAGACGGGGCCGCCACCGTTTGATGGCGGACGCGGTGGGGCTGCAGGGGAAGAGGAGTGTCGGTGTTTCGTTGCCGCTCTCCCTGTCCTCTGCAGCCGATTGGAGGTGGCCCACTTCGGTGGGCGGTGGTTAGGTTTAATGGGGCTGCTCCGGGTACCTCTCTGGCGTAGCAGAGTTGACTGTGGAGCAGCCCCATTGGTTTGGTGGTCTGCCTTTTTAGGCAGACCTGTCGCCGGGGCGCCGTAGTAGTTATGCGCAAGCGATCCTGCGGCGTCCCATTAAGGCGGAGGGGAGGGGAATGTCGGGTTTTAGTGGGTAGTACCGGCTCTTCTAGCCGGTGAGCCCCACATCACCACCTGGGGGATCAGGTGGTATGCGTAAATGCATTTCCCGACATAAAAAAAAAAGGGTGTCAAACTATCTTCTTACCAAATTGCATCTAAATCGGTTCAGTAGATCCAGAGACTACCCCCTATAACATCACAAACTCACAAACTTTACCTCTTTATAATATTAATATAGATAAAAAAGTTTTTATTTTTCCGTTTTTAGTGTAGGCATAGTAGTAGCAAAATAAGAAGACAGTATTTAAAAAATTCTGTAAGTGAAAAATCAATTATCTCTATTTGATATAGTTAGAGGTGGGGACTATTTCAGAACAAACCTCTTTCGAACAAAAAAAAAAAAAGAATTTTGCACATTTGTATGCGAAGTTTTGCCCCAAAAAGAAAATTAAAAACATCTGAATTGAGGACCTCCTCCTTTTTAGAAGTTCTCTTTTGAAGTTAAAAACACTAGCCGTGTGTCATATTGGTTTATCTATTTAATTGTTTTTTTTATAATTTGACTAGAATTTTTATAATTCGATTGTTTTTATTTGTAGCACAAACGTTTGTACTCCAGTCATGGGTGTTTATATTTATTTATAATATGTATGTTTTTAAAGTTATATATGTGTAGTGTATCAACTATTTGGTATCCATAACACAAGCCTCGTAGCTTATCATGGAACTAGATGGTGTAGTGTATTAATGTCGAAACATATTTATTATTTATTTATGTATTTATGCTTATATATATATATATATATATATATATATATATATATATATATATATATATATATATGGAATTATAGTGTGTATATACATATATTTATGTTTTTTATATATTGCATTTATTTTGTTTTACATTTTCTTTGCACTTTATCTTTCTGTCCCGCTACTTAACACTATTTCCCACATACACGGGTTGACTGGAAGAGTTATGTCCACCTTTTCCCACGTCATTTTCTATGTATATTTTTTTATTATTTGTTTAATGCAATATAGTAATAATATAGTATTATGTTTACGTAGAGTGTGGCTGTACAACAAAGTGGTGAAGCGTTTCTCCGAGGCGCGTCTGTACGCGGACGCGTTCGCCCTGCGCCAGCGCATGCTGAGCTGCGTGCAGCACCTGCAGTACTACATGTGCGTGGAGGTCATCGAGCCCTCCTGGTGCCAGCTCATACAGAGCTTGGACAAGGTGGGTTTCATCATTAACTACAGTATACACCAGTGGTTCCCAATTGTGGTCCGCGGAAGCCCAGGGTTCCGTGGAAGGTTCGCAGGGCTTCCGAGTTCCGTCAGAGAGTTAAATAAAAACGTTGTGCCCGACATGAAGCCTAATTTTAGTGCTATTATAAATATATCTCACATTAAATAGGTTATATTAATGGACTGATTTAAATTTAGATGTTCGTTTTATAAGCTACATTTCCACTGATAAAAACAGTCTGTCAGGTATAATATATATATATATATATATATATATAGTAGACAGATGGCTACAGTGACTGGAAGTATACAACTCTACAAATACTGGCTTGAATAAAAAAGTGGCTTATAAATCCGTGTAGATCAATTTTAAAGACCTACCCAGGTATACATACATACCCACATGCTTAAATAATTTTTTTTCACCACCTGATCACTTTTATGAAGTGCCTATCTATTTTTTTAAATTTCAATATTTTACGGTAGAACGTTCACATGAGACACTTACGAGATTAAGTGCTTTAATATCTCTAAGTAAAATGGCCTCAACAATGGGCTGTCGGACATGACGAAATTAAAAGGGAACCCTGAAAATCTTTAGGATGTGTGTTATAAGGTGATTTGACTCCATTCCAGGTGAACAACGTGGACGAAGTGCTGGAGCGCCACAACGACTTCCTGGAGTCGTGTCTGGGCGACTGCATGCTCACCAGCCCGCAGCTGCTCAAGGCCGTCACCACGCTCTGCCTCGTCTGCGTACAGTTCTGCACTTTCATACAGGTATATCTCGTCTATATACACTACAATTATTCTACTTTTATTTGAAATATGCCTTATAAGAAGCTTTATTGTATACATTATAAATGTTATTTATTTTTCATCATATCTTGGTGTTGGTTTCTTTATGCATGTTTTACTTTTATTGTATCTTACAAAAATCGATGCAGCAACCAGTCCAAATAGCCCAGTCGAATTAGGATTTAACATTGCAAAAAATTTTAACAGCAATTTTCCTTCGGAATTTTTTGAGGGGGGTCACTGGAAATTTAAATTTAGATTTTCGGGGTAAAAGACCCGTTGCGTCATGTGCCATCTTGAATTAATATATTCACCCCCCGTTATCGGGTATAAATCGAAAAATATCGATCCTAGGAAAAAATTGATAAGAATCAAAATTGTAGAAAATTTAATTTCAAACAACTTTTGTAATAACTAGTTTTCGTGTCAAATTGAAAATAAACGAGTTATTCATTAAACAAAAATCAACCCTTAAATTCAAGATGGCGGATGACCGTTTGCCCCTATTTTGAGCTAATTCGACTGGGCTGATTCAAAATGCAATACATTATAGATACGCTTCACTTAGACCCATGTTTCCCAAACGTGAACGAAATGTTTACTTTAATAAATACTTATATTGATTTGATCCTTTTTTTTTTAAATTTTATATGATTTTGTAATTAATTTAATTTGTCTTATTTAACGCAACCAAAACACGTAAATTGGCAAAGGAGATGCACAAGTACTTCGTGGACGCAGAACTAAACAGTATGCTCGGATCGACGTATGACAATAATGAGTATAGCGAGGTACCAACATTAGACATTTGCGCACTGTAATTAGTCACTGCATACTGCATTGTATCACGAGACACGACATCATTATATTTCTAATATGAATTTGTTTTTATTAATATTTACAATATTTTAAATCAAAAATAGGTATGTATATTTTAAGTTAATAATCACCTATAATTAATTCACTTTACTCTAAAATTGTACTAAAATATTTTGTGTTAGGTACATTGTCTAAATAACATGAATTTAGTTATTCGATCGTAATAGTTATTCAATGTTTTTATTAATACTGTCGATATCATTAAAATGTTTTTTTAATAGAAAGGCCATTTCATTAGGAAAGACAACACTATCTCTTTTTTTTTAATCGAGTAATAAAACAAAATTTTGACGAACGTTACTCTTGCTTTTTTCATGACTTTTCTGTTTTAGACATTCACGGTAAGTCCATTTTATTTTCTTTGTATGCTTCTTAGCTCTTCCAATTTCAATTTGTTATTTATTTTTTAAAGTGTACCGGCATTTGAGCGTTTTCGAAAACGAAAGATATAATAATGTATATAGAAATAAAAGTATAATTAATAAAAGAAATTGTAATTTTTATCAAAAATATTTTTTTAATTAGATAAATAGGTGAGAAAAACTGAAGATTCGTGGTCGTCCGTAATCATTTACTACCAGATACGATATACGAAAAATGTCATATTACTCTCTATAAAAATAAAGGAATAAACCTAGAAATGGAAGATAATGAGATAAACTATAAACTTGTACAATACATTTGTTTTGACATTTTATAAATTGGCTCAAAAGTCTCATAAAATCTCGTAAACGCGTCACAGGATATGAGGTTACGAACGTTATTTTTAGTTGTAAATATTCTATTTCCTTTAGCGGAAAATGATGACATTTGAAGTTATTGTAAAGGTTGTAGAGCATAAAACTCTCTACAAAAAATTTATAATATAGAAATAAATAATAATTTGTTTAATAAAGTGAAATTAATTAAATTTAATGCGAAGTTACGAATGCTCGGAACTTCTTGATAGATTTTATACCTCCGACCCTGACTTCGGTTTCGAAAGTAAAGAATCGAAGGTTATCTATACAGATAAATAAAATTGAAGTGTCTGTTTGTAATGCGTTTAACTGAATGGTACTTATAAGAAAAACTCAATCTTTTAATTTTTTATCTATCTCTCTGTCTGTTTGTTCCGGATAATCTCTGAAACGGCTGGACTTGACTCTTGACGGGACTTTCACTAGAAGATAGCTAATGTTATAGGCAGTAACATAGGCTACTTTTATTTTAAAAAAGAATTAGGTTTCCGCTCAAAAAAATTAAAACGTACCTACGGACGAACCCGAGCGAAGTTAGGGTGAGTCGCTAGTGTGCGTATGTGCGTAATGTGCGCATGGCCCCGGGAATCTCCTCGCGCTCTTTTTCGCGATACCGATAATTACGGTTGCTGGTCAGTTATGTTATTTGTTTCACAAGCACGTCTCAATTTCGACTTTAATTTTGAATAAAATCGATTTCGATATATCGTATTCAATACCTCCGATTCTGGTTTCGATAAAATCACATCTGTAACATCCCTAATATAGTACATACATGAGCCGGGAGGGGGTCGCACTTGCAAATTATATAAACAAACTTAAAGAAATACGATTATATGAGTAAAATCTTTGTTTAGATTTACATATCTGCGACAACAAAGTAAAAGAATTCCTCGTAAATATTTAAAAAAGTTATAAAACGGTGTCGTGGGACACCATATAGGCACGAAGTTCTTTATTACATAAATATCCAGATCAATGCAAATATGCGTCAAAATTACCCGCCATTAAAAATCACCTAAAATTACCCGCTTTTCGGGTAATTTACCCGCCAATTGGCAGTGCTGAAATTAAAACAATATGTAACAAATCCAGGGGGCAAGTTGCGGCACCACGACGGGCGGGTCGGCCGACTCGTTCTCGCGCTCCGTGTCGCGCTACGGCTTGCGCTTCACTGCCGCCTTACTCTCCGTGCTGGCCATCATAGAAAGGATGGCTAGAGACAACAATACGAATAAACTGCTTAACATATCTGCCAGGTTAGTATGACGCGGATAAGGTATTAACTAGTGATGCACCGGATATCCGTATCCGAGAAAAAAAATGTGTATCCGTACCCGTCACTTTTTGGCGGACGTTGATCGGATCTTTTTTATTTTTATATTTCATGAAGTGAATGAAGTGTAGGCAGCAATGAAACACTTTTGAATATCATTTAAATTCTTATTATTAATTTTTTAAAAGCACATATTTGGCACATTTGTATTGCAAAAGGTAATTATTAGATCATTTTGCTTTATATCTTTGTGGTACGCTTATGAAAAAAAAAATGTTTAAAAATTTACGACAGGCAGCCACTAGCTAGTTATATGAGCACCGTATGCGAATCCGTATTCACGGATCTTGAGAATAATGACCTGTATTCGAATCCGTATCCGCGCATATACAGTTTTAACGATCCGTCACATCACTGGTATTCCCGTTCTCTTAACTTAAAGCAAACTTTAACTAGCTTCACTATTATGTATTCAGCCCTTTTTAACGTCCCACTGCTGGGCATGGGCCTCCCTTCGGTACGAGGGGAATCAGGCCATTGTCCACCACGCTGGCCAAGTGCGGGTTGGAGGACTGCACATGTCGTTCGAAAACTTGCTAGGTTCTCTCAACCATGCATGTTTCCTCACGATGTTTTCCTTCACCGTAAGGCAAGTGGTAATAGAGTTGGAAATGATTCGCACATGAAAATATCAGGCGTGCGAGACCCGGGATTTGAGCCCGCTTCACTCGGTTTCCCAAGCGAGCGAGTTACCACTTGCCTTCCTTTTTTACTTGGCTACCACTGCCTTTAGCTTCACATATAAATAACTTTATTGAAATCTTGTTAGTTGCTTTTTAAGCTTATCACACTTGTTTGATTTAAAACTTTGGATACTAATTTTCGAATTCATCAGATGATAGTGCCAAGTGCCACATAGGAATGTTATAGATATTATATTTACTTTTTGTGTGCATCATAGTATCAAATTTTTTTAATGTTGGGAAATGCATGTATGCATACCACCTGCAGACAGACAGGTGGTCATGTAGGATTCACCGGCTAGAAAGGCCAGTACTACCCACTAAACCCCAACGGAACCTCCCCCGTCTTAATGGGGCGTCGCAGGATCGTTTACGCACTCAACTACGACGCCCCAACGGCAGGTCTGCCGAAGCAGACCACAATAGCCATAGTGGTGCTCCACAGTCCACTTTGCTATCAGAGAAGTACCAGGAACAACCCGCATAGCACATCGCCCACTGAAGGGGGCCATCTCCCTGTGCGTTTATTGGCTTCGCGCCCGCCCTCGTTAGTGTAACACAACGAATTTTCCAACTCACTACTGCCATAGAAGGAACTCGTAGCTAATAACTATTTTGAAAAAACTCTGGAATCAAACCCAAGACTTCAGGACCAGAGGAAGTTATATAAAATGTTATTGCTTTGTACACGCGTAATGTTCAATCCATCATAGCTTTCTTCTTTTTCAACGTCGTCACAAACAAAATTATTACAAGTTTGGTTTTTTTTCCAGGTTAAACTTTAATACGTACTACGTAAAGCAGCTCGAGAAGTTCTGCACCGACGACAAACTCATGGAAGCTGACAAGAAATCCTAGCGATCACTACCGCGAGTTACCGCGGTCTAAAGCACACTCACATTTTATAACAATTCTAATCAAATCTATTTAAGTGCTTCAAAGTACAATTTACCTCGAATATACATAGACCTTTTAGCACATTGTCGGGGAATTTTAGTCATGTTTCTTTGTTCATGTTTCATGTTTTAAATTCATTTATTTATTTCCTATGCAAAGAAAAATTTAGCTGGAATAAAATTAGCAAAGTGATGCAGACAACAGCTTTATACTAAACATCGAATGCCAGTAAATATGCCTTGCTTTTCTTTCTGGGGAAGTTTTCACTCAGTTTCTAACGAACAATCTAGAATTTATTGTGATCGACGTACAAAATTTATTTAGGGTCATAACATATTAACTATCCAATATACGTGTCTCACTCCATCTTAGAAAAAGTTTCTACTGTGAGCTTAATTGTGCTCTTTTAAATGATATTGTTCTTGTTTGCTAAAACCTTATTCTGAGTAGCAATTTATTAAATGCCATATCACTTTTTTTAGCCTCTTTTTGTTGAACTGTCTTTAAATAGCTCTTTTCGGATATTGGGTCCAAGTTTGCTACATTATTTCATGTAAAACTACGTAAATAATGTTTAATTTTTATTATACCACATACGTATGTATATATGGTGTGTACAGAACATGTAAATTGTAAAGCCGTTAGTTCTACCTTGAGTTATATTTTCTATAATTCGATCTTGTCTTTGCTTGGCCTTCAATCCCATTTAACTGAGAGTCTGGAAACACAGTAGTAGTTAAAATTTGATGAGCATTATATGCACAATTATTATTTATTTCAACTCGGAACTCTCATCATCTGTCGATCTTTTAGTAATATGCTTTCTAACTTTGAATGGCTCTTTAGTATTGCCTTTGGTACTTCTTATAAGCTATTTGCCTATTAAACAAGTTCCATTTCTTTTAAACCTAGCTTCATATTTTCATTATCCCAACTATAAAGCATCACAATAAATTCAAACTAAACAAAAATATTGTGAAATTATTGACTAAAATTTAATTCAACAACAGACCTAATATTAATAATAGCTTAATACAGAATAATAAAGTTTAATAGTGTTGCACTTAGACCCTAACATTACGTTGGCTTAATGCTTATTTGTTTAAACTATCAATACTTTTGTACTTTACAGTAGACAGCTTTTTCCTCTATTTATAGATAAATTAGATCTTTTAGGTTTAAAGTAAAACCTGTTTGTACCAATAGAATTGAAATTTAAAACTCAATAATTCTGTATTAAAACTCTTTCGGTAAATTACGACGCATTTAATTGAAAATAGTAGTATAATATAGTGGAAATCCATCCATAAGTACAAATGAAAATCACTCAATTTTTTCTACTCAATTCGAAAGTTTTAGTCTATTTTATTATTATAATAGATATAGCGTTAGAAATGATATATATATATATATATATATATATATATATATATATATATATATATATATATATATATATAAGACCATAGTGTTACACGGTAGAAAACGTTGTAGCAACAATATTAACATATGATATTTGCGTCCCACAAAATAATATTTAACTAATGGCATATTATTTGAAATTTTCAGCATATTTCATTAAGTTTTTAAAACAAATTTGTAGAAAACAATACCATGAAAAATTAAATACTGATGATTGGTCTTAATCAATTATTTTGTGTATGACTAAGACGTATATTTCATAAGTGGCAAAATGGAAAAGTTGTCAAAATAAAATATCATATTTTGACTAGGTAATGATTCCAGTGTGTGCATATTTCATGTTAAAATAGATGTAATTAATGTAGCATTTTATAAAGCACTGTAGAGGATACGGTTTTGATATCAAAATTAACTGAGAATTCTCGATATAAATCTCAAGATTTTCAAAGTTTAAACAAATTAAGAGTATCGTGTAATATAGTGTGTTAAATTTAAAATAGCTGACTTAATATTATGTAAAATTTGTGTAATATCAGATAGAAGGAACTATTTACTATAAACAAACGTATCCACAAAAGATTTATTAAAAAAATATAAAATATATATTTTACATAATAGAAAGTTTTTGCATTATCATATGTGTAATTCTCGACCATTCTGGCATTCGTAGCATAAAGTATTCATCAAAGTATTTACATACTTAGAATCGAATGAATCTATATCATGATTAGATATTGCCATAGTATATGTATGCTATATGTATTTTTAACGACTGTTTTATTAAAAACTAGCATTTCCCGCGGCTCCGCCCGCGTTCAGATGACCAAAAATCAAATTCTTAGGTTTTATATATTAGTATACTCTTACATTGCAGTTTTTGTATTTTTTCTATTAAATGAGATATTTTCCCGGGGTAAAAGTATCCTATATGTTGACCCGGGTAACCAGCTACCATCATACCAAATTTCATCAAAATCCCTCCAGTGGTTTTTCCGTGATGCGGTAACAGACAGACAGACAAAAATTATAAAAACTTTTGATTCGGCCTCGGTATCGATAATAATGTCTATTTCAATAAGTTACGATTTTATTATATGTATAGATATTATTCCAACATACCTACTATTACTATTTATCAGAGTAGAAAAACAAATAATATGTAATGTTTATTTAAATGATTTATTTGTTCAAATGTATAGTTGTATGTATGTGCGTGATATATGTAATTATGAAGTTATAAAATATGTGGGGAGTGGTCACTGAGAAATCTTAAAATGTCAAATTTACGTTTTTTCTTTATCCATCCATATTTGTCTCTAAAGAGTATTTAAAATATCTATTTAATGAAAATAGATTTTTAGCAAGGATTAAAACGAAAAGTTTAGAAAAAATATAAAATTGTATCATAATACAGACGTTACTCAAAAAATCTAGCATCGAATAGATTAATTGTACTTTACTGTCATTATACTATTTTAAGCGACAAAATATATAAATTATTATGTTAATTATGCATTAAGAAGAAATAGAAAGACCTAAGCAGTCTCGAGAATTCAATATTTTAACATATTAGGTTTTTTAAGTGACCATATCTACTCATATTTAAGGTTCATGACAAACAGTTAAATTAGTATCCCTTGCCATAAAATGCCATGACAGTAGTTAAGTACGTGTTGTGAATGTGACGTGTTGTGAAATAACTCTTCCGTATAAATACTTTTTTTAAATTGGCTGTGTTGTTCAATATTTTTTCTTTTATATTTAATTGTTTTTTATAAAATTTAGTTTTCTTCAATTTAAAACGTCGTTAACGTTATATGTATATTTTAAAGCAATAACCTTAGCAAGTGGATATTTTTTAATGTCTCATTATACGTTATGACACTTTTAATGTTTGAAATACTTTTATGTGTTGGATTTAAGTTTATCTCATTTTACCCAAGTTTATGTATTTATGTATAAATATCACAAAATTTTGTATTTTCAAGAATATTTTAACAAATAAAAATTAACAAATTATTCATTTTTATTATTTAAATTAATGTTACCTGCCTGTCGTGCCTTATTAAAATTTACCGAAATACTTTCTCGGTATTAATTAACTTCTTTGGTACTTTCTCGTTGCCTCTTGTGACATAACTGTTAAATAATTAAGTAATTATTAACTACTACAGAATGGGTTGTTGCTAACTCAGAAAGGCCACAACTCGAAATTTGCGTCGCGGCGAAATTTTTGACCATGACGCGTTCAGTTTGCTTCTGCTTTTGCTGCTTTATAATTTACCAAAAAACCTAGTTCTTGAGTAGCCTTTTTATGAGTTATATTACAGTTTTACTATTTTTAAAAATAATACTAATTATTGTTGAGTCGTCTCCTTGTATTCGACCTGGCCACCTTTTACATTTAGAAAATTTTTGGCACTATATATTTAAGACAAAAGTACGGACGGATAACTTAATCTTGTTAAACTCGGTTCCGACTAGACCACAGATAAGATATTAATTATTTTAGTACATACTCTATCTCTGAAATACATTGTGTGTTCATATAATAAAATGATAGTTCACACTTTTCTATTTATAAATATAGATTTTTAAATATAGATCTTTTGTTAGTAATAATGTCACTCCTATATATTTCATAAGGTTTTCAAATCTTCAATGAAAGAAGACATCTTGTCTTGGCGCTAGATTCCTCCTTAAGTAGATTAAAGTTTACATAAATAAAACAGCATGTTAGTGTTCTATAATGTTTATTGTAACGCCTCACATTGAAAATGTTACAGTTAATGATTATATATATTAAATAGACAGATTCCTTAAACGAAAATATAAATAATTAGGTACTTCTAGTAAGTCCGTGTTGTTACCCTATCTATATATGTATATAGCTATATAGGTCACAACAAAATTACAAATCATCGTTTGGTGGAATTTTTTTAGGAAAATCGAAATCAGAAATCGCAGATTGATTTTAATATTATTTGACATGATTATATTATATAATAAAATTTCGGTTACAAAGGGTTTTGGTTAGAAAAGTTGTTTAAATGAACAATATTTATTAAATAACATGTCCAGGTTCTGTCTTAAATCTTAATGCCTTAATTTTGATATTACCTCCGGGTCCGATTATTCCGTTTTATAACAGAATGGTTTTTTTTTATATTTTACCTTAGTCGCGATTTTCTCTAATATCTATTCTTAAAACCTAAAATATATCTATGTCAATGAAGAAAAACGCGAGATTTACTTGCAATTATTTTTATAATAAAATTTAGCTTCTTTTTGTCTTAATTTTTGTTGCAAATTTATCTGACTTAACTGGTTGGTCTCGGTCCATATGGATCAAAAATATAATATAAAAACTTACTTCGAAAATAAATATTTAACCCTATTCTTGGCATGGTGGATAATTTGATACGTTGAACTTTTTGAAAATCTGGAGACGTTCCGAGACGTATTTTAAATTTTTTTATTATTTAACAAGCTACAAAATATAATACCAAATCCACAAAAAAATACTATTTTATTACTTGCAACACGGAAATTGCAGTCGAAAACAAGATGGCGAATCGATCGAGGACGTCTGCGCATCGCAAGGTAAAAATAATTATTTTTTGTTATATTTTGCTTAAATTAATTCCAAAAACGTTGTAATTCAAGTCGGTTACAATATTTATTAGTCGGAAACGCTATTTTCGAGTAACAATCTGGATGGAAATCGTATGTAATCAACCGTTTTTTTCGAGTGTATCAGATATGCCACACTGCCAGATAGCCAACATTCTAGACTATTTTTGTTATGTATCAAATATGTGACACTGCTTGATTTGTATAGATACTATTTATTTATAAATTTTAATATTATAATAATATTTTAAATTATTATTGCTACTTATATTATTGTGTTTTGTATTTTTCAGCCACAGATACATCAGCTTAGTATACAACAACAAAGAAGAGCTCGGCATCTTGTGGCTCTTGTTCCGAAGCCGGGGGCAAAATCGGATTTGGATGACAGTGAATCATCTGCTGAGGATGAATTGCAGTACTGTCCCCGCCCAACGCACTCCGACAGCAGTTCACCGCCTCCATCGTTGCCATCTTCGATAGAAAATCTAAATCTTTTATCAGATGACGACAATGAGATAAATCAAGTGGTTGCTTCAACATCTTTGGTGCTACACTCACAGTCATCGCTGTCAACCAACCCATGTTCACCATCAATTTTATCGTCCAACCCATCCGCAATAAGGCAGCTTCAGTGTGCTGAGGCAAGTCCTTTGTCTCCGGTACCACCTTTATTAGATCAGGTATATTTACCATCTCCATTGGCAACCTCCTCGCAAAAACATTCACCATTGGCAACCTCTTCCCAAGTACCTTCACCACTGGCAACCTCCTCGCAACTACCTTTACCACGAGCCAGTAACTTGACGTGTCATAACCAGGTACCGTCTCCATTGTTTGCACCTTCTCCCTCAGCGGCTACTCGATCAAAAAGACCTAGAGTGGTCACGATAAAACGAAAAGTAATACCTGCTAAAAGATTACAACCTAATTGGCGTTGCTGTAAGTTTACCGGTTCTGCAGAAGTGAAAGATATCTCGTTTGAGCCACGTGAAGAGAAGTGTGCCATTGAATATTTCAAGCTGTTCTTTTCAGATGACATCATCTCTCTCATAGTGCAACAAACAAATATCTATAGCACACAGACAAATGGCAGCTCAATAAATATCACAGAAGATGATATCAAAGATTTTCTGGCGATCCTTTTATTTACGGGGGTCGTTAAAATGCACGCTTATACAGATTATTGGTCCAAAATTCTACGATACGACAAAGTAGCAGATATAATGACTCTGAAGAAGTTCCAGTTACTGAGGCGATATATACATTTCAATGATAATTTTATTGACGACGACGATAGATATCACAAAGTTAGACCACTTCTTCAAAAAATCCGTGAAAATTGTCTAAAAGTAGAAGAAGAGTCGCGTTTCAGTATTGATGAAATGATGGTTCCACATAAAGGAACTAGAGCAGGCAGCCGTAAGCAGTATGTAAAAAATAAACCGAAAAAATGGGGATTCAAAATATTTGTTCGCGCTGGTGTCTCTGGAATAGTTTACGACTTCCTGATCTACGGAGGAGACGACACATTTAGATTTAACTCATTCACAGATGAAGAAAATGGTATGGGCCTGGGATCAAAAGTAGTTCTTGCGCTAGCGAAATCCATTCACCAGCCTGCATGCAAAGTCTTATGCTTTGATAACTTCTTCACTTCTATTGAGCTCCTGCAATATTTACGTAACGAATACGGGATTTTCGCACTGGGAACAATCCGATCAAATAGGCTTCGAGGAGCGGAAAAAAAATTACCCACGGATAAAAATCTAAAAAAAAGCGGCAGAGGATCTCATGCACAAGTCGTATGCAACAAAAACAAGATCGTTGTCGTCAAATGGTACGATAACAAATGTGTCACAGCTGCAAGCACATTTGTAGACGCGCATCCTATCCAGAATGTGGTTCGTTACAAGAAAGCACAAGGAAGAAAAATGCCAGTGACATGCCCAAATTTGATAAAAGAATACAACACCGACATGGGCGGAGTTGACCTGGCAGATATGCTGATTGCTCTGTATCGTACACCATTCCGAGGTCATCGCTGGTATTTACCGATCTTCTCGCAAATGCTTGATATTTGTGTGAACAATGCCTGGCTTCTCTATCGACGTCATAGAGAAGCCAGGCATGAAGCCAAAAAACCCAAGTCGCTAAAAACATTTCGAATAGAAATTTTCGAAAGCTTACGCAGATTTGAGAGAACTAATACAAGCAATATCAGCAGGACTAGCGTCAGCTCAACCAAGACCATACAGAGACCTGTAGCTGAAAGACCCCCAGATGCTGTTCGGTATGATCAAGTTGCACATTATCCAAATGTAACACCTATCAGAGGGAGGTGCATGTATTGCAAGAAAGGGCAAACCAAATTGTTTTGCGAAAAATGCAAAATGAGACTGTGCTTATTGCCGGAACGTAATTGTTTCGTAGAATATCATACTAAGAAATAATACGAGTATAATTTATAATTGTAAGACTGTTAATACTCGTATATATTATGTAATATTTATATTTCATAGTAGATATTTGTGATTGATCTCATTCTACCATTAATTTAGATTTTTATAAGATTCAAAGGCTGTTAAAACTATTACTGTTGATTTTTAACCGACTTATACTAAAAGAAGGTTCTGTTTTTAAAGGTATGTATGGAAGTAGAAAATAATTGTCTTAAATTTTATGTTTCTTTCACGTTAGAATGTAATATTTTGTTTTTTTTTTGTTTTGTTATAACTTGTTAAAAGCCTGGCAGAGCGGCAAATATGATACATAGATTTTATAAGGTTAATTTTTAAGAGTCTGGCAATGTGCCTTATGTGATACATTCAATAAATCATAAAATAATAAATATATATTTTTATTTTTATTTTTTCTCCCCTCAATGAATACCTAATAATACATTTTATGTAAAATTTATCAACATTTCATAAAAAAAAATCTTGCCAAGTATAGGGTTAATGTATTTCATTGTATCTTTTGATTCAAATAAAAAATTTGGAAGAATTGTATCACTTTTCATTTATGTAATTCCATCCTCTGCAAAAACTTTTTTAACGTATTTTCAAGACTTATAATCTTAGTTTCAAATTGAGAAAGCTTGATATTCATTTCATCCAATTCTGATACATATGTTTTTTTATTAATAACAATTTTAGCATTTTTTACAATTTTCCTATCCAGCCTGTAAGTTTGGCAATGTTCAAAGCAACATTTTCCACTTTCGATATCGTTATCATCTCCAAACTTTCCGATAGGTTCTGCGTGTGGAATTTCTATTTTATTGTCTTGGTTAGGTTTAACGATAATTCGATATTTTGGCAAAAAGAACGGGAAAAGGCTAATTCTTCTTGCGAAAGGTTTTATACAAATTGTCTGTGGCTTAATAATATTTAATGATTGAAGATACGGCCACCATTTAAGTGATTTTGTGTACACTTTTCCAATAAGTACACTCTCGAAATAAGATATAAGCTTAACACGAGATACATGTCCTACTAATTCTGCATCTGCCCTAATCTCTTGGGTATCACTAACAGCTAAACCATTTAGTAAATTGAATAGCACAATGGGTATCATGAAAACAAAGACGATAAAAATTATGTGGCTAGTCACTGGAAATGTACTAAATTTAATAGATCCTGCATCAAATTCACCTGTTAACATGACGATTGTTTTAAAAAGAGATCTTCCTGGATCCAAGAAAAAGTCTTCTTCTTCTTCTTCCTCTTGGCCCCCAATGTTAGGATTTGGTGCTTTTTGATCCTCTTCTTCTGAATCTTTTCGGAATAATGTATAGAAACTTAATGCAAATGCTATTATCAAAATACAATACCAAAGCAAGAATTTAAAGAAATTCCATGATACAGTTTTTAACATAACGATGTTTGTTGATAGTGTTGGAAATTGCCCAATCAGCAAAACAAGCTCCGCGGATGACAATAGAATAGCAACTGCAGATAATTGTTGCTTAGTTGATTCTTCTGCAGAATCATAACAAACAATCCATGCTGTTACGAAAATTAAAGCAATCTCCATCCAGTTTTCAATACTTTGCAAATATCGCGTTGGTGACACTAATAACTGAAACACTTCTCTAATTATTAAAAGTATCAATCCGATTATTGCGCCTATATGAGTCACAACGTTTAACGCTTCAATTGATTTTGATTGTTGTTTCTCTACTCTGTATCCTAGTATTACGTATAAAACCAGGCACAACCATAATAATGAGTAAAATGTTATATTTGCATAAAAAAGACTGCTTATTCTTTGCCATTTTAAGTATAGAAAACTAGTTATTACTGGATGCTTAAGAAGTGGACGGAGGTCTTCGTTTCTTGTCATATAGAGTAAAGCTTCTGTTTCCGGAGCTAAAATTGCATCATAATTTTCGATCGCGCTATTATTGTTATTAGAATTTTCTATTAACGGTACTTTGCATAATTCATTTTCTAAAGAATTGTTAGGATGCACGAGAAAACTATATTTGATGTGAATTTCGTAATCGTCATCACTTGGTCGTTCACTGTTTGATGTAATACATTCATCTAAATATGTTTCAAAAGTTTTAGCATTTATGTCTGCTAAAGGTAGTTCATTAAATTTATTATACAATCCGATACAAGCGCCTTTTCTAAGCAGTTCTAAGACTGTATCATTGTCTCCATTTCTGGCAGCATAATGTAAGGCTGTGCTATTTTTTATATCTTGGTGATTAATATTAATATTCATTTTAGGATGTCTTAACAGTAAATCTAAGCAACCTTTGTAATCTACTTTCGGACCTTGTAATGCAGAACTCATACCTCTCACAGTTATTTGTATTAGAGATTCACCGCCAACTGGATCAAATAATGTGGATTCGTTGTCCACAAACATTTTGAGTATTTTATAATATCCATTACGACAAGCTATAGCTATGGGGCGACTTTTATTCCCGGAACAAGTTGCATTTGGATCAGCTCCAGAATTGAGTAAAAACATAACGACTTTTTCAAAACCTTTGTCAACTGCATGTTGTAACATCGTGTTCATACCATTATTAGCTGCTAATACAGATTGGTGTTCGTTTCTACTAACGAGCTTTTTGAAATCTCTTACAAAGCTATCTTCTTCATGTCTACTTAAATGTGTAAATAATTTATCAACATCAATAGTATCTTCGTTTGCAGACTGAGAATCAGGCCTAGCTAGTAAATCTGGGAAAGCTTCTTGCATGTAATATCTAGCTGTTCTACCTCTAATATCCTTGTATGTGTCAAAGTCAACAGGATCTTTGGAGTAGTCCAAAATGTACGTCACAACTCTTTCGAGTCTTTGTTTTGCCGCAGAGTAAATCGGCGTTACACCTCTCAAGTCTGGCGAATTTGCATTACAGCCAGCCTTCAATAGTTTCTCAACCATGTCTTCAAATATTGCACGTTCTTGGTCATCATCTGAATCTTGTATTTTTTTGATTGCCATTAATAAAGCCGTATTGCCCTTACACTTGATATTGACATCTATCCTGTCATCTTCTAATAAGGCGCTCAAAGCGTCGGCATTACCATTTTCAACAGCAAAATGTATTGGAGCTGCTCCATGAGTCTCGTTAATTTTATTAACTTCCACTTCATGTTGTAAAAGTAACTTTACAAATTCTAGTTTATTAGATTCTGAAACCGCTAGGTCAAGACAACTTTTGTAGTCTGGATATTGATAAACATGTTCGAGATCCACTGCGCCATAGCTGACAAGTTTCTTAAATGTCGCAAAATCATTATTACGTAATGCTGTTCGAAGTTGTACTTGAGGATCGCTACCGAAAAGAGATCCACCCCGTGACAGCCGATTGGTGTTCATCTCGATACTGTCTCGCGTCATGTTTTGTCACTGACTGGCATCTATAAAGAGAAAGAGAATCCTTACGTTAACCAAGTTAAACAATTTTCTTATTTGAGTTACAATTATTTATTTAGAGAACTGTGGATAATTTAGATGCAATTATTGTTTTATTAAACAGAAACCAGTAATTACAACAATTGAACAATTAAATTCAATTAATCATTGGCCATATGTCGAAACTTCTCTCGAGAAATAGTTTGTGAGAAATCCATTTAATTCCAAAGGGATTGAAGAATTTAGATGGGCTCTAATCTCATCGTACTGTGTCTGTAAATTCGTTTAAAAATGCTAAATGGTAAAGTAAACGAGCGTGTGAATCGAGAATGATTGGCAAAAGCTATCTGTTAGCTGCATGTTAATCTTTAAGATAACAAGATACCGGTAGCTACATTAGTGTAAGCACATGCAATTGTCGATATAGGAAATGTACGTTATGGTGTTATGTGTTTCTTAATTTTATTGTGTTATCTACGAATTAATAAAGCTGTGTCATTTTTCTTCACACCCAAAGGACACATAACTCATGTGTTTGACCTATATGTATCCTATTGTCTAGTGTCCTTATTAGAATCGTCTTGATAACGCGATTGTATGTATATTATTCAAAATCAAAATGGCGTATTTCAGGAGCTAACGTGTGCGTTGAAAAAGTATTTTCGTCCAAACCTATCGAGTATAACGGGTATCAAAATGAACCTTTTTAAGAAGTTATTGCATAAAACATAAATTAAAAATTTAAGAAACCCACGGCGGAAAATTGTGACATGAAAAAAACTTTAAATAAAAAAATCTAAAATCCACGACATTAAAACGTAGGTAATCTATACATATAATAAAATTGTAACTAAGCCGAATCTGCACATTAAATATTTTTTGGAAAATCTTATTGAAATAAACATTATTATCGATACACAGGCCGAATCTATAGTTTTTAGAATTTTTGTCTGTCTGTCTGTCTGTCTGTCTGTCTGTCTGTCTGTTACCGCATCACGGAAAAACCACTGGAGGAATTTTGATGAAATTTAGTATGATAAATGATGATAGCTGGTTATCCGGGTCAACATGTAGGATACTTTTTACCGCGGGAAATTATCTCATTTTTGAGAAAAAATACAAAAACTGCAATGTAAGAGTAAACTAATATGTAAAACCTAAGAATTTGGTTTTTGGTCATCTGAACGCTAGCGGAGCTGCGGGCAATGCTAGTATAGAATATTATTAATAGCCCTCGTGCGTAATCTCTATGTTGTAGACTGTACATAATAAGTAGTAGGTATATGCTAGTACCTTAGTACCTTTATTGTTAATTAATGTGCATTCTACAACACAGGTTATGCAGGACGGCTATTAATAGTATTCTATAGGTACTAGCGTCTCACCCTCGCTTCGCTCAGGTTCGCCTCTGGAAAAACAAAAACAAATCTATCCCTCGGGAAACATATATTTTCCGGGATAAAAAGTAGCCTATGTGTTATTCCAGACTATAATCTATCTGTGTCAAATTTCATCCAGATTCGTTTAGCCGTTAAAGAGTAACAAACATCCATACTCACTAACATTCACATATTTTATAATATTTATACAGATTACGCTTTAATTTCGTGGGTTTTAAAAAAAATTAATTTGATATTTTTTTTCATGTCACAATTATCTGTGCTGGTTTTTTTTAATTTTAATAGTAAATGCAATACATTTATTTAAATAAAATAACCGTTTTGGAGAAACATGTGTGTATTGTAGCTCCCCCTGGAGGTCTGTAACATTATATAACTTAATAATAAAATAAATAATAAATATAAACACATGCATACTTATATCGGGTGTTTTTATTATTAATACAAAAAGTACTATTGTTGTTTAAATTAATTAAGTAAATATTCTATTTCATATAGGTTGTTATTATTCTCTGTTTAAAAAAGAACGAAGTTGGTTACGTCATGTTGTTTAATGAGCTACAATATGGGTTTGAAATATAATGAACGCTCAATTATTCCGAATTTCTTCAGGTGCCATAAAATTAATGCTATTCTCGTAGAGCACGCGCTGCCCGCTTACTTGTATCAAGTAATTGCTCCCATTTGCGTTCCCCATTATGTTACTACTTAATTGAGAAACTAAGGCTTTTATTCCTCTTGCCCACACAAAATGAGCCTTATTCTTAAAGTTTTTATAACTACAGTACCTTCTACTATCTGCCTCTTATTACTCGAATGCGATTTTATTACAGTATAATTCAATAAGTGTAGGTATTAATGGAATGGGGAAACAACATGTAAGCTTTGATGTTCAAGATAACGAATCACGGTCGTAATTATTGTTTTATAATTTTAATTTTTTAAATGATATAGAAACTTATTATTAGCTTGTAGTTTGTAATAACTTTATTTAAGATCACTAAAGAACTATTTAACTGAATTTTGCGACATTCTTAGATTCACGCGAATAATTGACATTTTATATGAAACTATTTTGCGGATTTACATTGTCTCTCTCGAATATGAAAATGAAAATAAAACCGCGAAAATAAATATAATTTTATTTGAAACGTTCAACTGTCCAATACTAAAAACAATATTTGAGAAAATTAGAAGTTCGATAAGTTACACATATTGCGTGACTCGAGAGTGTAATTTATGTTCGGTAGTTCCATTTGCCACGGTTTTTGGATTATCAAGAGAAATATTTATCTTTGGCTTTTGTGAATACACCGTGACTAAATCTTGCCTTGAGCTTAGTTTACTATGACATAACTGTTTTTGAAATCTTTTGTTTAATAGATTACTATGAGATTTTGAATATATATAAATATAATTTTTTTGTACTTAATCTCTGTATAACCATATATAATTTTTGCCCGCGTGTTTTCTCGTATGGTAAGCGGGACGGAAATAAAAGATCCATCGTACTTATATCCTGACTAAATTTCATCGAAATTTGTTCAGCAGAAAGCTCTCGCTTGCAAGAAAAGGTAACAGATAAATAGACAGTCACTAGCATATTTAGGTATAGGTATTATAAAATATCCACTAAGAAAAGAGCTTAGGAAGTTCGACCTCTAATAAGGAAATGGTCTAAGTATAAACATGGAATATCACCCGATTGAGGTAACATGGCCTGTTTGCGATATGCAAATAAAAAAATCGAGTATCCACTCCTTTCTTCTTCGTCTGCATATTTGTAGTGAAAACCAGTATATAACTAATAAAAATACCTTCGTTACAACGTTTCTAGTACGATTCATCAGAAAGTATTTGAAGCATGAAAGCAATTCTTCTTTCAACATTTATTTTCCAAAGAAATGCCCAAATTAAACGTTCAAAGAGGCGGTTTATTTACAGTATTCGTTGCTCAGCCATTGGAACACTAAAGCAATGAGATACTACACATGTTCAAAACAACAATATAGTTGTGTCCGCTTTCGTCAGGTGTCTATTGTCCGACATTCGACTTTTAAATCGAACATTTCATCGTTTTTAGATTACAATATTTATTAATACTTATAACTGTACTATTTATTAAAAGATATAATGGTTTCTACCATGAACGAATTAACCACAATTCGTCCATGGTTTCTACCTTAAGTAAAAATCATTTTAAAAGTATAGAGTCTAAATAATCAACCTGAAAAGGTTTTACCTGAACAATTAACATAAGGTAGTAATGTAAGTTGCATAAAATATCCAGTCTAGAAAAAAAAAAGATTAAAATTTTACGAAAATAAGAATATTTTTGTAAAATTTGATTATCTTCTTTGTGTAAGTTAAAACCTTAGAACATACAAATAATCTAAGGTTAAAACATCATTGTATTAATTAAAGATAAATGAACAAACTATGTGGCTTCATTAGGTACGTATGATTTTATGCTCTACAATTTCTTATGTGCCAATATGAAATATTCTTCTCAACACTGAACACTCGGTTTGAAATCCTTTTGAAAACATATTTTGAGGCATATCGTACCAATCTCGTGGAATAAATATTCATCTCTCATACAAGAGAATACGTTCGTACATAATACATAACTTGTACCATTTATCAGGTCATCTTCATATTAAAGTTATCTTTATTACGAATCACCTCTTTTGAGGCTAGACTTATATTTAACAAGCAGGTGTTAAAATAATTACTTATTATATAAATTATAAGCTATATATGTATTACATATAGCAATATATGTATTACATTAATCCTTCATCGGCCGCGGACACGCCGGCGTGTCAGTTAACAATAGATTTCTTAGAATTTTAATTAATTTCTTAGAAATCTACCTGGAGGTGTTAAACTTAAGTATTATAGTTAAACCATAATTAAAAGTCTTTAGTCGTTTGACTACGCATCTAGTAGGTACGTTAATTGGGCTTTTATATGAGCTAATATGAAGAGCGTATGAAACGTAGCCATGTACATAAATCATAGATGACATAAACTATACTAGTAGATACTGTATATAATTTATTATTCTTATCTTTATTTCTTATTTACTAATTTATATTCAAATCGATAATATTATCTCATATTCAATAGTATTTTTATTCATCTTAGTAATAATAATATTTTACCAACATTATAAGATTCTACCAAAAGTTTTTGAGAAAATGTTCCGGTAGGTATTTATTAATAAACTTTTTTCTATAAGCTTCGTCATACTCGTAAGTTTTACTTTAACTTATTGCTCTCTTTTCTCATCTTGTACCTCTCTATCTCTATTGATATATTATGTATCTATTATAATTCTATTGTTTTTAAATCCAACATCCGTCTAATTTTCACAAAAATTAAAATGTTTTATGTAAGAGGCGTGTTAAGCGGTTACGCATTTATCTTTCAACAGATCCCATCGCTTCTGCATATGTGTTTATTTAGAATGTCAAAATATTTGATTTATTATATAAACAGTACCTAAGCAATCGTCCTCTATGTCTTATAGTAACAATCATCCACGTATTTTGAATAATCTTTATATATATAATTCTTCTGTGAGTGTGTATGTCACTGAA